TATCTAGACTCGGCTGCGCGTACCAGCATTGCAGGAACAAAACTGCACGAAATGTTACTACAGCAAGGCCAAAAATTCGTCGAGCGTATCGCAGATGTCCAACTGGCAGATGGGTCCATCACTACACACAAACTTTTGTCGACAAATGTGGACGTAACTCTCGGAGGCCGCACTTTGCCCATCGAGTTTACAGTAATGCCGATGGCAAAGGAAAACCGCACCTTATTGGGCATCGACTTTCTCGAGAAGTCTGGAATAATCTTGCACCTGCCGCAGCGAGCATGGGCCTTTGCTGATGACCCTACTAAGATGTTCGACTTTGTACGCATCAAAGAAATGCCACAGCTGACGGCAGCAAAGAAACTGTCATTTGAAGACACAGAACTCGAAGACGATGAATTGCCAAAGTTTCTCCAGTGGGCAAACAGTTTGAAATGCCTATCTCCTATGGCACAAACTCCATCTCCACGTCCGGACGAAGCTGGCAATGACAACCCTGTTGCACCATGGAAGCTAATCAAAATGGACACCCCACCGCGACCAACTCGTCCTCGGGAACCCGCTGATGTAAAATCACGTGTTGATCCAAGAATTGATTATGTTCCAATAAATCCTATTTCTTTGTACTCTGTTGATATTTCTTTACACTCTGATGAAGGTCAATTACTATCCTATACTGAAAAAGAACAATTCAATCAGTTACTCAATTCATATAGCGATATCTTTGAACAAAATAAAGAACCTACAACATTAGCAGAACACAAAATAGATACAGGAAATCATAATCCTATATAATCCAGCTAAGCCATACAGATTATCACCTGCTAGGCAACAGCAGCTTAAATCTAAAATAGATGAAATGATAAAAAATGATATAATTGAAGAATGCGACTCACCTTGGTCTGCACCTGTAATCATGGTCCCAAAAGGTGAAAATGATGTAAGAGTCTGCATAGACTATCGAAAACTCAATGAAATAACAGTACCAGACAGATATCCTTACCTCGAATAGATGATCTGTTACATCAGGCAAAAGCTATGCCATACATGTCAACAATTGATCTACAATCAGGCTATTGGCAAATAAAAGTACATCCACAAGATCAGGATAAAACCGCTTTCATATCACCATTTGGAATGTACAAATTCAAGCGTATGCCATTTGGATTAAGAAACGCACCCGCTACATTTCAGCGATTAATGGATAAATTTGTACAAGGGTTGCGTGCGCAAAGTGTTCTATGCTATCTAGATGACTTGATAATCCGATCAGCCACATTCGAGCAACATTTAGAGGATCTACGAGAAGTTTTTGATAAACTAAGGAAGTACTGTTTGAGAGCCAATAGAAAGAAATGCAAGTTTGGATGCACAAAAATAAAATATCTGGGACATCTCATAGTGCCAGAAGGAATAAAGGCGGATCCAGATAAAATCTCTGCAGTCATAAATAGGCCTGAGCCTAAGAATTTAAAGCAACTCATATCGTTTCTACAAACAGCGTCATGGTATAGACGTTTCATACAAAACTTTGCTGAAATAGCCAGACCTTTAACAAACCTGACAAAGAAAACTGTTACTTGGTGTTGGAATGACGAGCAAAGAGAAGCATATGATAAATTGAAGAAAGCATTAACCTCTGCACCAATTTTGAAGCAAGCTGATTACGAATCCACTTTTACAATCAGAACTGATTCTAGCAATTATGCAATTGGAGCAGCTTTGGTGCAGGGGGAGGGTCCCGATGAACACCCTATTGAGTACGCCAGTCGACTCCTTATACCGGCTGAACGTAACTATACTGTAACTGAAAAAGAAGCATTAGCCATTGTATGGGCAATCAACCGTTTTAGAGGCTACATTGAAGGTGCTAAGTTTATAACCATAACTGACCATCAACCACTGAAATGGCTTTTGAATTTAAAATCGCCAACTGGCAGATTAGCACGATGGGCTTTACAGTTACAGCCCTATAACTTCGAAATAAAATATTGCCCTGGAAAATCAAATGTATTAGCTGACAGTCTGTCACGACCTCCATGTGCTGAACAGCATACTGAAACAGAAAAATGTGAAATTTGTCAAATAGAGATTGATTTCCCTAGAAGAAACGAAATCAACATAGCAAGCGAACAACGTAAAGATGAAAAACTCTTACAAATAATAAAGGCTTTAGAAGATCAATCAGAATCTGAGGACTACATCCAATGGTCTAAAAGAGGATACCTTCTTAGTAACGGGATACTCTATCGTTTTACACCCGAGCAAGAAGATGATAATGTTAAACTGATCATACCTAAACATGAAATCAACAATGTATTGAAGTCTTTTCATGATGTACCTACTGCTGGACATTCAGGTGCTGAAAGAACATTGAAACGCATAGAAAGCAACTTTTACTGGAAAACCATGCGTAAAGATGTAAGCAAATATGTGAAATCATGTACTGAATGTCAAAAATATAAGCCAACAAATCAAAAACCATCAGGCTTATTCCAATCTACTGCTAACAATCAACGATTCGAAGTCCTATCTATAGATCTGTTTGGGCCACTACCTAAAGGTCCGAATGGTGAGAAATGGATACTCATCGTAGAAGATACAGCATCAAGATGGGTTGAGCTGTTTGCATTGAAGGAAGCAACTGCTCAACAATGTGCTTTAACACTCTTAAATGAAGTAATACTGCGATACGGTCTACCCCGTAGAATATCCCCACCTCAATTCCCAACTCGAAACTCACCCAATCAGTAATCAAGACAAACAATTTTCTGCAAAACTAGCTCCTCGACGTGATGGTCCGTACATTGTCATGAATAAACACGGAAGCTCCATATATGAGATTGCCAATATCAGTGATCCAGAAAATCCAATCGGAAAATACCACACATCAGCAATTGTAAAATATGAAAAACGAGATAATGATGATGAAACACCAGTACCTATTGTACCTATCAGACGACGAGGAAGACCAAAGAAGACAACCACTTCATAGTTCCTGGTACTCTCACGGGACGTTTACGAGTACCAGAGGGGGAGAATGTAGCAGCATAACAAATCCACACGACGCGCGGGCTCGAATACTTTCTCGCTCGCACAGTCTACCTATCTTACTCGCCAGCCGAACCAACGCGAACGCATACGATGCCTCCGACGGCTGCTCCGCGGCATATAAGCGCGCGCACGCATACAATTATCATTCATTCTTAGCGTAGCGGTCACTTGGACGATAGCCACATATGCAGTCTCCAAGTAGTACCGAGAGCTAAGGGGTTGCGATAGCCACATATGCAGTCCTCCCCTACGCTCAGTTTACATATACGGCAAGGGTTGCGATAACCACATACAAGATGTTCCAATGTAAATACATTAAATTGGAGACGTTGTGTAGGCCATCGTACCGAATATTTTTCATTATTGGGCCAAGTTATGAAAACCCCTCGTTTAGAAGTAATTAGCAACTTACATACATACATACATACATCACGCCTTTATCCCTTGCGGGGTAGGCAGAGCGTCAATTACCGTAAAAGTACGGTCGTTATCGCCACGTCTGACACATATTTGAGGGCCGTTTTAGCTATTGTCGTGTATCGCTATAGTGACAGGTTGTTTATTATTAGCAACTTAAACTTGTTAAATTTAATTGAGTCCCACATTATGAAAGGAGCTTTATTTATTAAGACCTTTATTTATGTCATGTTGCCGTCTTGGAAAAACTTTTGAAATTACCGCCACAACAGTTGCCAAGGCAACGGTTTTGGCGGTAATTTAGTTGCCAAGGCAACAGTTGTGGCGTGTTGTGGCGTAGACTAAGGTCAAATGTCATTTTCGTCAAAAACTGACACAACTGACACTACAGACTCTACTGGATTCTCTGATTGGCCCTTTGTCTTTGCGTCTCTATGGGTGCTCTAAGTCAAAAGAAGTTTTTAGTTTGAGGCGGTAATAAAATAAAGTTGACACCAAGAAAGAGATCTTTTATCTTAAGTTTTCGTTAAATTTCAAACATAGACAACTATGTTCCAAACTTTTTCGAAGATCAAATCCAACAAGTTAAAAATGCAAGGTTGCAATCTTGGATAAGGGGTAATACATAATGGTTGTAGTTAATGTAGGCATTTAGTTTGTATGGAAATATCAACTTCTTAATTGTTAAGAATTCAAACTTGGTGCCATAATGGAAATTGTTCAGTACAATGGTCTACACAACGTCTCCAATTTAATGTATTTCCTTTGGAACACCTTGTATGTCGTCCTTCCCTTCGTCGTTTACCCTAGGATACCTAGTATGTAAACGTATGCACTAACCTAAGAATCTACTGAAACTCTGTTACTTAAGTTCTATCACTGAAATACTGAATATACCATCTGTTGTATGTGATCTTTGGCGTTTTCAATAAGACACCTTCTTCAATAGTAAAATTACCTGCTCATATTTTGCAGATTTCCAGACCAGCAGAGGCACCCTACCTCCTCGGCCCGGTTTGCGACGATTTTACTGGAATGAACTGGAATCTTGGAGGAACTTAAGGTAACTAAGAAAACTGTTGCCAAGATCGTCATATCTCTTGCATTCAAATCGGCGCAGAATCATAATTACGTACTTACAGAGCTGTATTGTTATTTAGAGCTGTATTTCGTCCTCGTATTAAATCTACCAACCCTGCCTTTGTAACAAACAAGACAGTGACAATTGCAAAAATCCTAAATATGGTCGAGTGAACCTTCTGTAAACTCTCCATTTAGGTTGATAGTCCCTATAAGAGTCAACCATTAGTTAGCAATACCTGCTCATATTTAGCAGATTTCCTGACCAGCAGAGCCACCCCGCCTCCTCGGCCTGGCTTGCTTCCTGGTGGCAGCGGAACTCTACCCACTAGAAACTTGTCTGGGGGTAAGATGTTTCTGAAGTCAGATTCTTCATCTTCTTCTGATGATGCTAGGTGAAAAACAGAAAAAAATCTTCTAAGGAAAAATTAAAAATAAAATAAAAAGTCTGACTCGTGAAGGATTCGAACCTCCGACCTCCGATGTATTAGGTAAGGTTTCATTTATTTTCTCTTGTATCGGCGCTCTGACCAACTGAGCTAACGAGTCTTGCTAGCAGACAGCGAAATTGTGAACTGCTTGATACAATTTACAAAACATGGTGCAATATTACCTCGCGGCGCCATGCCGTCTGGGCTGGCAGATAAAACAAGCTTTTGGTATTTCTGGGGAATCCCAGCAGGAAAACATTGTCTTGTTACCTTTTTGACAGACTGCCATGACCGAAACAAAAATATCTAATGATACGGTCGCTCGAATAAGCCATATTTGACAGCTGTCAAATCCATACTAGAAGCAAAAAAAAGTTAGCTCTCTTATTTTGATAGCTGTCAAATATGGCTTATTCAAGCGGCCATACTTTAGTGCATTAGCAAGCCTTGAGGCGCGCGGAACGCCTACCTACCAAAAATTTATGTACTGTACTAGCTGCCCGTCAGCGGTTTCACCCGCTGCAACCTATTATTCCGCGGGAAAAAAGTATTACTCGCCAAGAGATGTCGCTGTTAGTTTTCGGCGATTACATTTAAAACGCGAATCGGCTCAGTCACGCCATCTTTGCAAAAATATTGGAATATGCGTGATCCCATAGGAATTTGGCATTTTCCCGTAGTAAAAAGTAGCCTATGTGTTATTCTAGATACTCTTCTATATTTGTGCAAAATTTCATGTCAATCTAATCAGCCGTTTTAGCGTGATGTCGTAACAAACACACACACAAACATCCGCCTTTATAATATTAGTAGGATTGCAAGTAAAGTCCTTCTATCACTAAATGTCTCTTAAAACGTAAGGTAGAAAAACAATAAATTAAAATATAGGTACTTAAAATAAAATAAAAATAACTGACTCGTGAAGGATTCGAACCTCCGACCTCCGATGCATTATTGGTGTGGCTCGTTTCGTCTAAGGAAGAAACTTCATTTGTATCGGCGCTCTGACCAACTGAGCTAACGAGTCTTGCTAGCAAACAGCGAAATTGTGGACTGCTTCAAACAATTTACAAAACATTGTGCAATACCTCGCGGCGCCATACCGTCTGGGCTGGCAGATAAATATACATACATATCACGCCTTTATCCCTTGCGGGGTAGGCAGAGCGTCAACGGCCGTAATAGTACGGTCGTTATCGCCACGTCTGACACATATTTGAGGGCCGTTTTAGCTATTGTCGTGTATCGCTATAGTGACAGGTTGTCAGCCTGTCGCCTAATATTGCAATACACATGACACCCTCGAGTCCTTTAGTCGCTTCTTACGACACCCACAGGAAAGAAATGGGGTGATGCTATTCTAAGCCGGCATCACACGGCATTTCTAAGCCGGCATCACACGGCATAAATATAACAAGCTTTATATCTGGGATTCCCCAGCAGGAAAACGTGGTCTCGTTACATTTTTGACAGACTGCCATGGCCGGTTATGACTCAAAGTTTCCTGCTGATATCTACTAAGTCCAGTGCTTTCATCACCAGCGTTTGTCGACGTATGTAGCACTAATAAAGTACGGTCGCTCCAATAAGCCATATTTTACAGCTGTCAACCAAACCCATACTGGAGACATGTCATCACAGACAAATAGATCTCATGGCATAACCATAATTTTATAGCTGTCAAATATGGCTTACTCGAGTGGCCGTAGTTTAATGCATTAGCAAGCCCCCGCAGGACCAGCTGTAACATTGGACAGCACCATTGATGGTACAAGCCTTGTGGTATACGGCACGCCTACCTACCAAAATGTACTGTATGTATCGCAAGAAATTATCATGGAATGTGTCCTAAATCCTACTGAAAAACATACTTGCCAAAAAAGAACTGACTCGTGAAGGGTTCGAACCTCCGACCTCCGATGCATTTATTAACCTAAGAAACTTGAATTGTATATCGGCGCTCTGACCAACTGAGCTAACGAGTCTTGGCAGCTAAGAGGCAAAATAAGGAATCTCTTGATATGTATTGCAAATTGTGATGCAATTTTACGTAGGTATGCATTGGTTTACGTTTGCGAGTTTCGTTGCTGCGACGTCATACAGTCTGACGATGACTACGTACCTAAACACAGTTTTACGTGTCACACAGACGTCTGGAATTCCCCACGAGAAGGAAGATAAAACTATGGGCTGGTGATAAGCAACAAACAACTTTTAACGAGGAACAGCATAGTTCCGTGCTTTAGAGGGCACGTAAAGTTGCTGTCTATGATTTGATTGATTACTTAGATGGCACGGGGCGTTTGATTTCTTAGACGGCGATCATTAGACTATCATGTCAAGGAACTGCTACTTGAAGTAGACGGTTGTAAATCTCTGACACCAGGGTTCACCGGGTCTTTGAATGACTCGGTGTCCTAAGTACACGAAGAGAGAGCGAGAGACAAGGAACAAGAGACAAAACATTTTAATTTAGACTGTATACGTAAATTATTGCACCATATTTTGCAAGGTGCATCAAGCGGTTTAATATTTCGCTGTTTGCTAGCAAGACTCGTTAGCTCCCCTCCGGAACGTTCTGTCTACTTTCTCGATCGGTCTACTTTCACAAAGCGTCTATTTTACCAAACAGTCAACTTCTTTTCCCAAAGCGTCTATTTCCTAATGCGTCTACTTTCCCCATCGGTCCATTTTCTTTCATTGTTTCATTTTGGTTCAAAGTTTCCAATATGAAAAAGTTCTAAAAGTTGAATTTGTAAATCATATTTTTTAGAAACGTTGTAGGTCTTCGCGAGATTTACATTTTTGGTGCCAACTGTCAAACTCATAATCCGTTTATCTCGGAATCTATGCATGCTAGACTATCAGTTATAGGCCTTTACAAGATCTACATTTCGAATGACAGCTGTCAAACTTAAACCTCGTTTATCTCGGTAACTATGTGAGTTAGACTACTAGTTTCTTAGTAAAAGTTGTAGGTCTTTACGAGATCTACATTTCAAATGACAGCTGTCAAACTTAAACCTCGTTTATCTCAGAAACTATGCATGCTAGACAACCAGTTTCTTAGAGAAAGTTGTAGGCCTTGACGAGTTCTACTTATCAAATGACAGCTGTCAAAGGTTTACCTCGGAAACTATGCAAGCTAGAAGGAAACTGAACGACTAAACCAGAATAGGGCCTTTACTTTACATGTAATAAATAACTAACACTGCGCACGCTAAACAAGCGTGGCTAGTCAGTCTTTCAACTACTTTTGAGAGAGTAGACCGATCAGGAAAGTAGACCGATCGGAAAAGTAGACCGATCGGGAAGTAGACCGATTAGGAAAGTAGACCGATCGGGAAAATAGACCGATCGGGAAAGTAGACCGATCGGGAAAGTAGACCGATTGAGAAGTAGACCGATCGGGAAAGTAGACAGAACGTTCCGGAGGGGTTAGCTCAGTTGGTCAGAGCCCCGATATTATGAATTCAATTTTCTTAGACATGACGAGCCAAACGTTCAATACATCGGAGGTCGGAGGTTCGAATCCTTCACGAGTCAGTTCTTTTTGGCTTTTTGCAATTTTAAATATTATTTAATGTTTATTTGCGTGTTTTTCTGTAGGTTTAAGTTTGAGGAGACATTTAGTGAAAGAAGGATATTTTTAGTGATACGTAGGCAGGGTTTTTTGGTAGGTAGGCATGTCGGGTGCTGCGTGCCACAATTACAAGGCTTGCTAATGCACTAAAGTACGGCCGCTCGAATAAGCCATATTTGACAGCCATCAAAATCATCTTAATTCTATTAGCGCTATTTTTCTATGTCTTCTAGTATGGGTTAGAAAGCTGTCAAATATGGTTTATTCGAGCGACCGTACTATAACGTATTTTTGTTTCGGTCATGGCAGTCTGTCAATAATGTAACGAGAATAGGCAATGCTTTCCTGCTGGGATTCCCCAATATAAAGTTTGTTATATTTATCTGCATGGACCGCGGGGTAATATTGCACCACATTTTGCAACGTGCATCAAGCGGTTTAATATTTCGCTGTCTGCCAGCAAGACTCGTTAGCTCAGTTGGTTAGAGCGCCGATATTATAAATTCAAGTTTCTTAGACATGACGATTGACGAGCCAAACGTTCAATACATCGGAGGTCGGAGGTTCGAATCCTTCACGAGTCAGTTCTTTTTGCAATTTTAAATATTATTTAATGTTTATTTGCGTGTTTTTCTGTAGGTTTAAGTTTCAGGAGACATTTAGTGAAAGAAGGATATTTTTAGTGATACGTAGGCAGGGTTTTTTTGTACCTAGGTAGGCATGTCGGGTGCTGCGTGCCACAATTACAAGGCTAGCTAATGCACTAAAGTACGGCCGCTCAAATAAGCCATATTTGACAGCTATCAAAATCATCGTAATGCTATGAGGCATGTTATATTTTTGTAATAACTCAAAATTGATAAAAGCCGAAAAAAAATCTAATAGTTTACGAGTAAAACGAACTGTACAACTTGGCAGTTTTTTGCTGTAAACACACAAACTCAAAAGTTTAAATTTAGTCGTGAAGTTGAGTACTATGAAGCTATTAGGTACTATGTGGACAGACCATGCTGCGGAGTCCTACAGTTACAAGGTCTCTAGACTTGTGACTAGTCTAGACCATAGTCTAATAAAACATGGTCTTACATTCCCAGAGAAACACTTGCCTACGTCACTAGTACTGCCACTTTATTTCAATAAAATACATTATGGGGTAAATTCAATCTCAGAAAAAATACCTAGTTAAAATATTTCTTAATAATTTTATAATTTAGATTTACGTGTGTATTAACTTGAACTTTACAACAACACTTAAATTGTATTTATTAGTTAACAGTATCATAAATGATTTACAAAAAACATTATAAGAGTGGGTAATTCTGTCTGGTAACCCACAAGCATGATGACGTAGGCTTGTGTTAGTCACGTGGTTTACGAGTCTCGGAATGGAATACCAGGCGGAGTAGAGTATCTTATTATACCATGGTCTAGACCACATCCTCATACGATACGTCGCGAGCGTCATAGCCAGACGTCTGCATGCGTGACGTCACGTCGCGTCAACTTGTTTTCAGTTCTGAATTGCATTGGTGTGA